ACATTCAAATTAATTGGTTAAAGAACTTAATGAAACAAGTAGATAGTTAGTTTTAAAATCAACATGGTCAAATTGAGATGGTTGGCTTTTTGTGATTTAGTGGCTTGTTAGTGGAGGTTTTGAATGAATGTTAGTGAGACATGTTGTGATAAGCATGGTGGACTCTTTCTTCTCAATTATCCTGTAGCGATAAGCAATTGTGACTCTTGTTTATTACTGTAGCAGAACCATAACTATAGGAAATGAAAGTAGTCATAATTTTTTCCTCTTCTTTGACTGTAGTGAAACCTTATTAAAGAAATGAAATTTTATTAAATAATCAAACTTTATCAAATAAATGAAATCTAATTAAATATTAATCATTTATTAAAATGTTGATTATTTATTAAAACGTTGATTACTTATTGAGTATTTATTGAGTAGTCAATATTTATTTGAGTATCGAATTTTTAATTATTAATGATGGATTAATTATTCTATATTTAATTAATGATGTGTGTTTTGTGAATTATTGTTGGATTGTACCGATATTTATGCATGTGCAAATGTGTGGTAATTCAAGTGTGATGAATTATTGAAGATATACATATGGTTGTTGAATTTGCACACGCATCATTTGTTTCAAGAGGCAATGCTTGTTAGTTCCATGAGAGCTAGTGATGTTGGTGATTTTAGTATTATCAATGTATTTTAGTAGTAATGTGATTTATTGTAGGCCGATGCAATTATGCGTTAAGCTTGAAAACGAGTTAGGGTAGTGCGGAGTGCACGCTCGTCGAGCCAACGTGCAATTGAATGCGAATAATTGAAAAGGGGTTCCAAGGGACGAAGCCCCTGGCGGGGTACGGGGCAGCGCCCCGCTGGGGTTCCAAGAGGCAGAGCCCCTGGTTGGGGTCCCGCTGGTCCAGTGTCTGAACCGTTGAACCCGTTCAAAAGTTTTCTGAACAGTTGAACCCATTCGAAATTTTTGAACAGTCGTGTCTTTTCAATTTCTGTTATTAATCTTCTATATAAGGAGTCATTTGCCCTCAGTTTTAACATACAAAAATAACGAAAATCTACTCTCTCTCTACATTCCTGATCTGTTCTCTATTGCCAGAAGCAGATTGTTCTTCAAGAATTATCCCCACAAAGATTTCGTGAACCCAGACAAATAATAGGGTCGAAATACTTTGTTCGGAAAGTGTACGAACACGATTCCTCGAAGTTATCCAGGATTATCATACCAAATTTCTAACAAGTGACTTGTCTCAAACCTAGAGCGGAGTTTGAAAGCTTAGGGAATAGACTTTTTGTGTTATTGGTCTAGGGAACGGACCCTGTTTAATGTAACAACTGAAAAATAATAACAAGCGTTGGTACCACATGGCATGAGTTGCATTTGAGTGTTGCATTGAGTCTCATTGTGTATATATTTGTTATATGAGATTACGTGCATTTATGTGAATTGTTGAATTGGTGAAATTGTGAATTGTGTGTATATACTTGTGAATGGTAGGTTACTTGAGTGATACTTTGTTGATGAAGCTTTGAAGTGTGAGAGTAATTATAATTATGCTTGTATGCCTTAAATTAATTATTATCTTATAATTTCAATAATTATGTGAATTCTCACCCTTCTGTTGGAATGATGTTTTATACGACATCGCTCAAGTATCGAGGAGTAGAGTTGCTTCTAGCGTGAGGTAGCTGTTGGAGTAGCTTGATTTGTGTCTTTATTTATGTTTGGTCGAGTCGTGCTCTGGTCATGTAACACTTGGGAGATTTTGGTTTATGTTTGAGAGATACATTATGTACTCTTCTCTATTTTGTTATGTTTATTTAAATTATGTGGAGTTTTGGCTTTTATGCCTAAGTATTGGTTATGAATATGATGAGTATGAGACTTTCATTATATCTTTTATGATTGAAGTAAATCCGCTGTTACATGCTAAAGTGAAAGTTTATAAAAAAAATATGAATTTATTTTAACTGTTAATGAGCATGACAGGTATTTGTGTGATGTTTTGAAATTATATGTGACACCCTTTTGGTGAGATGCATGATAATTACTTTGATTATTTATATATATACAGAGAGGGGTTTACAAGGGTGTTACACTAAGCGCGGTTTGGTCGCCCTAAGCGGCATCAGCAAAACATGGTTTTTCAAAAATGGAAACTTTTCTCAGGTTTTCCATTCACTATCACTCTTTAATAACTATACTACTCTGAAAATCTATAACAAAGATATGCTTCATTTCACTGCTTCCTTTGGTGTGACTAGTTGTTTTTGCTTCCTGGCTTTATCGATGTTCCTTCACCAACAGTTATCCCTAACCAACACTTGAGAAAATGTGAAAGGAAACAAATTTATATGCAATATAAACAAATGTACAAAGTTCAAAAATATAGAAACTATTGCAATGCAATTCAATATCTACACACTAATCCCCGGCAACGGCGCCATTTTGTTGAAGCGGTAAAGCGGAAAGGAAAAGTGAGTTTGGAAGAATTTCGGGTTTTATCATATCCGTAGAGATCGGTGCGAGGGATCAAATGTCATTCAACAATATCTACATTTCTAAGCTTGTGGTGCTAATTATGGTTAAAAGATCGAAGGCACCATAAATAAAGGCAGAAAACATAAAGACTGAAAATATAAAATAAAGACTTTAAAATAAACAGAGCCTTGTGGGATTGGATCTCATCAATTGATAACACATGCATTCTTCTAACCAGTTAAACACAAATCAATCATTTGTCTAATAATCTCACGTATCACCCACAATAGAGGTTATGTCTAACGTGAGATAGAGAGAACAACCGTATTGTCTCATTGGTAATGTCTCACGCAACTTAACAACACAGAGCATTAAGAACTGATACTCACGCAAATGTTAAGCTTAAATCTATGACTAGAGTTTAGAACCTAACAAGTAATCATCATAGATCCAGATCTGAAGAGTATATTTGAATAGCAGTTCAAATCAAAGATAAACATGTAAACAAAGATGACACCTATATCAGATAAATGATTGCTTCATATAAAACACAATGATCATAATACGTACATACGATTAACCCTTTTTACATGCATTCAACTAATTTATATATGTGAACATAGTTCTTCATATTTATTATCACGCATCCTCACAATACCGTATTGATCTTACTCATGCTACTCAGTAAAATAGAAGATACACGTGAATATCAGTTTACAAGACTATGTCAAAAGTTTGCTCATTAATAGATGAATATCTAAGATCTAAGATTTGCAAAAGGTTTTGTCAAGACCCACAAAGAAGAAATCAAAGATAACATCACTATTGAATCAAAACTAGTTCACAAAACATAGATTAGATGAAATACATAAGGTATCAAAAGATTACATCCAAACCCAACAAGAGATCGAAGCTACTTACTCGAAGATCAAGCTCTGATTTACTTTGATTTTGACTTCCTCTTCTTAGGATTTTTTTTCTCTCTCTAAAAATATCTTATACAAGTCTGAAAATGAATAATAATCAAAATATTTACAAAAGTGTTATTTATACGTGTTCCAAAAAGTGCCTATAAGTGGCACCGCGCTAAGGCCATCAGGGGCACGCTAAGCGCAGTCAGCAAAACAGAGGCAAAAACCAGAAAGCGCGCTAAGTGCGGATGGAGCGCGTTAAGCGCAGTTGAACCCTTAGCTACGACCTCTACAGTAAAACTGCAGGTTCAAAGCGCGCTAAGCGCGATTTATCGACAAAATGCTGCGAAAATGACCTTCTAGGTCTTCTTCCCTTCACCGTGGGTTGCAAGCATCATATATCAGCAAAAAGACCTGTCAAAAAGTATAGAAAAGATCACAATTCACAATATTTATAATAAAAATCGAAAACTTGCGTATTTACACTAAAACATATAAGTTTACTACTAAAATATCAAAGAAACCATTGGAAAGGGCCACAAAATACTATTAAAAATATGCACAATTTAGCCCTTAACAACATTACATCCTCTCATTAAAATGACTCACCCAAACACACTATAAGAATTTAAAAAATTAAATAATAAAAGAAATATCATTAGTATTATGAAATTAAGTAGTAGCGGCACATTTAAGATGTGGGGTGCTTGTTTAAGATGTGGGTGCTTTGTAGATTTGTCAATAATAAATAGTCTGATCAGTATGCGCAAACCGTCCAATATTGGTTGAATTTCATAATCAAAAGTGGGCCTTAGAAGTTTGAAAATAAATGCAGCAAATAAGCTGTAAATCAAAATTCAGCAAATATAGGCATACACCATTCATGTGTTTGTCCAGATTCTACTCTGGTAAGTATAAGTAATCCTACAATCTACAATTTGTTTTCCTTAAAAACCAGAGTTTGAAAAGGATGTTTTAACAACCTGTACCCACATTTGAACAAAGAAATTGTTGTTTGAAGAGTTGTGTTATTTAAACATAAAATTAAGTTTACTATTATATGTCATATCTCTCTAAATTTCACTTTTTTAAATCTTATGCGACTTATATAGATTACAAAAATAAACAGATTAATCTCTCAATTGCATGACTTTTGTTCTTAAGAACTTAGCATCAAAAGACACACATACTAAATACTAAAGAATGAAAAATTACAGTTTCAAACCCGCACTCGAGATCAAACCAGCTTGTGAATTGGCCGGTTCCCGAATCAAATTTTACTAGCAAGAGTTTATAATAAGCTGAAAGTTAAATATGAATTACAATTGCAAACTAATGCAAACATTTATTGTTTTGAATTTCTGGAAATATAATACAGTTTAATTTATAACAAGCTGAAAGCCAGAATAAAACAGATGCAAACATATCCAAACATCCATTTCAAATACATTAAAGAGAGCAGGTAACTATACCCATAACCTATCTCAGCAGGCACCAAATATGCAACTTCTCTGATACATATGATACATCTAACTAAATCGGCATACCACTTATATTTTATACAGGGTTGTATAATTGTATTGCGCGCACGAAATATGGAACTGCAGTCAAAATAAGAGAAGAAACAAAACTGTGCAACAGAGGAGGAAGAAACAGATTCTACTGAGTGACTTATCAGCTCGCCTCAAATGTCTTCTGATCCTAGGATTACTGATCCCCGATAGATTGTATGAATTCGGGTATGTATAAACGTCTGTCACTTGGTTTCCAAAGATCCTTGCATATATCATCTCACCAAAGACACCATAGCTTGTATCCAATGGATTGGTCAGTGAACCACCTGTGTTAAGCATTGGTGAAGTGTTCCGTTGAGCATGATTATGATAATGAGGATGATAAACTTGAGAAGTGTGTTGTGAAACAGTTCCAGCATCAAGTGATCTTGGTAAGTTAGTCATCCATGAAGGACTGGGTGGTCTCGGTGGTATGACACTCCTTACTTGCTGAGCATTGTCTTTGGAAGGCGGTGAGGTTTGTCCGCGACCGTAGAGCGGAACAAGTGATGATTTGGAAATTTCTGATTTGCATACTGGACACTGCGGCTTTTCCTTCTGCTTCTCTTGAGCTTGGCCATGGAAATTAAGCCATTTGTAAATGCAGGGCCAGCAGTAGAGATGGCCACAAAGAGTGACCACAGGATCTTGCACACACTCCAGACAAATGTTGCAGTCAAAGCCGCTAGAACCTGAAATTGCGTCAGCACCAGAACATTTCCACATTTCCTGAGATGATTTACCTTCCAAGGAATCAATTTGGTTCACACCCTCAGCAAAATACTGATTTAAGGCCATGTTCTTTTGTCTTACAAAGCTCTTAGACTAGTACCTGAATCTGAAAAGAAAAAATATAAATGCAAAAACTAAAAGTCACTACTAACAGATAATCCATCCACCATTGTTGAAGTTTCTGTAATAAACAGAATCAATCTTAAAATCAACAAACAAGAAGTTCCTTGAAACTACAAAATTTTATCCAGATCGAGAAACTCATTTATCTTATAAATCCTAAACACCACCACAAGACAATTTAAGTGATTCAGAGAAACTAAAACTCTAGAACCTTCTATCACATCACATGAAGTGATTAAGACAGCATAACAAATTTTGTTAGGTGAGAGATGAATGTGAACAGAACCACCCCACCTAACCAATTTCTAGTTGTTTAAACACAAAGAGTATGTGCTTCATTTTCTTCAAAATAAACAAGTATTTTCACCTCTAAAAGATAAGGTCCACCAACAAAAAATATCTAAAAAAACACAGTTCAGATTTCTTTAAAAAACATTAAAACTAAAGACTTAACCTAATCTAACATTTGAATAGAACACCATTAATTCCACATTCACATGTCCTGTTCCTACCTATCAAACAGTTTCTTAACTAAAGATAATCACAAAACTATTATTTAAGTAGGAAGCTAACAAAAGTAGATATATCATAAAGCCAAATCCATGATATTCTAACAACACCTAATAATAGTTAAATTAAACTAAACTAGAAATGAGAAAATCATGAGGCAAACAAAAGGGAATCTTATTCTTATAATAATTGAGACAAAAAGTCACAATCACGCCAACTTTCAGATAAGCTCAAATGAACAGTTTCAGCTATATTGTCAAATATCCTCATTATTCTGAAAAGGTAAAACAAAAACAAAAAAGAAGAAAAAAAAAACAGTTTCAAAATAATTAAACTATTGACTATAAAAAAAATATATAAAAACTCTCTAGATCACAGGGGAGAGAAAACAATATTGAACATGGTGGCCTAAGCTGAAAATCAGCTGAAACGATTAAGCACCGAATTCAAAGGAACAAAAAAAAGCAGAAATTTTCAAAACTAATAAAATGAAATTTTGCGTATAGTAAATGTAACTTAGAAAAAATGAAATCGACATAGGAAAGTGAATAGTGAATAGTTAGGTTTAAATCAGGACATAAAGCTCGAAAAACGAAGCATGATTGAAAGAATCTGTAGTGAAATAAGAGAGGATCGAAGGTTTTGTAGCATAAAATAGAGTATAAATCGAATTAACAGAGCAATGATAATGGTAGGAAGAGAGAGAGGGGTATTTTGGTACTTACAGTGATGGCGATGAGAAGGAAGAAGAGTGAAAATCGAAATCGAAAAGAATGAGAGGAGGAAGAAGAAGATGAAAAAGATATTTTGGAGTGTTGTTTCCAACGAGTTTCTACTGATTACGGATTTTATTAATTTTGATGGATTTTGTAACTGTGGGCAAAACAATCTTTATGCTTTTATATATTTTATATTATTGTTTTTTTTATTTGATTTCTTTTTATTATAATTTATGACAGTTGTTTTGTTGAAATTTTTCTTTAAATGATTTAAATAAAATAGATTATTTGATTATATGATAAAATATATAAAATTGTGATTATAATGTTGGAAATATGTATATGTAAAAGGAAATCAATAAAAGGAGTTTATTTATTGATGGAAGTGTAAATGGATATGTCCTTTGTATATAAATTATTTTTCAATACAATGGGTAAATAAAATAAAAAATTAAGGGGTCTATTTGATGTGCATGATCTCATAGAGATATGATAAGATATAAAGAATGATAAATATAAGATATAATATAGATAGGATAAAATACATTTTATTATGTGTTTAATTCATTCAAGATACAATAAAAAGTTGTTACATTTTTCAATTTGCCTCCATAATAAAATAGTTTATTCTTCTTTGATAAGTCAAATTATTAAAATGAATAAAGGTAGAAAGTTAATAAATTAATACTAATTATAATATAAATTAATCATATAATAAAATGGAAAACAATCCTAATATAAAAATAATCATATTTTTTTATATAATTGTATATATTATATATAAAAAATTCAAAACATTATTTTAAGAATATATTATAAATTATTTTCTTGTTCCCGCAACAAAAATAAATAAATAAATAAATAAATAAATAAATATATATATATATATATATATATATATATATATATATATATATATATATATATATATATATATATATATATATATATATATATATATATATATATATATATATATATATATATATATATATATATATATATATATATATATATATATATATATATATATATATATATATATATATATATATATATAACAACTATATTTTTTAAAATTATTTTATAAAATGTTTTAAAATGATTAAAAAATTTAAAAAATTTATATAATTAAAAAAAACTCATTGACACTACTAAATAAATAATTTTAGTTTTTCTTAAAAATATCATGAATTCTATTATATATGTTAGATAAGCAAAACAAAAATATGTATATATAATATGTTAATGATAAAATTACCCATGCAAGAGAATATATTTAATTTGATAAAAATAAAATAAAATTAGTATTCATATTTTTAAAATTATACTAATTATTTTATTATTAATACTTTCAATTTATTAGGTTTTGATTTTTAATAATATATAAAGTTACAAAATTACCCTTATGACAAAAATTATATATTTTTTTTAAAATTATATATTGATATTTTTTAATTAAATATCAAATTAATTTTTATTTATATTTTATTATATTTAGTTTTTTATTTTAAATTAAATTTTATAGGGATAAATTTATAAATTAATTCTTTATCATATCCTACCAGATTTTATCTCATTTCATATTTAGGATAACATTTGAACTAGTGGGGTTGGATAGAATAAGATTCAGGATTAACTTATCATATTATGTTGTGTCATCAAACACTGAATTGAGATAAGGTATGATACATATATTTTATCATGTCTCTTGCGCATCAAAAGAGCCTAAAGGTAATGCAATTGACTTATCGTTCAATAAAAATTCATTAAATCGTAAAATTATTAACGTAATTTTAAAATATATATGTATTTGATATAGGGGTTGGAAAACGAGTCGTGGTCCGTCGGGTCAGCACTCACACTCCATAAAATGGTGGTTTGGGTTGAAATTTTGTGTTTGCCTATCCATCTAACCTGCCATGTTTTAATTTCGCCCCGCCTTAAGCTCGCCAAAAAAAGGGGCGAGTTGGTACGATAGTCCGCCAACGTAGTTATGGAGCACTAAAATTACTTTATTTTATTTTGTTGAAGGTTAATACTTGAGCTATATTTTAAAATATTTGTTGATAATTCTATTTTATTCATTCATTGAAAATATACAGTATTTTTTTAAATAAAATTTGTTAAAAAGATGTTTTATAAAAGATTATTCTAAAATATAAATGAAAAATCTATTTGAAATGTAAAATAAGATTATTAATCTATTAAAAATATAAAGGGGAAAAAAGTTAATCCGTTACTTTGGCGGAACAGACTAAATTTTTAAGCTCATTTTTATTTGGCGGACTTGTCCATCCTGTCCTCTTTTTTTTTGTAAGAACAGAGTATGCCTAAGAGGGGGGATGAATTAGGACTTTTGAAATTTTTCCGGTTTTTATATGGTTCTTGGAAATATACTGGATGGTGTTCTTGGTTATGGAAAGCAGTAAATCAACAGAAAGAAAGAAAGACACAGGATTTATAGTGGTTCCCCTCACAATCCGAGAGTACTCCACTCCCCTTTCAACATGAAAGAGAATTTTCACTATTGTTTAAAACAGTACAACCTATCACACCATCAACCGGTGAGGCCTACTATCAAACAATAAAAACTCACAAGTGTACAAGAACAATCCTCTTGTAAACACTTACCCTTGTGTCCAACAATCCTGGATCACAAGTCAAAAATAAAATAATTGTAATGAATTTGGATTGAGTATAACTGTCAAAGTGATCTTCTCCAATGAATCAAAATTCACTCTTTGTAATTTTTCAATACAAGTGTTCAATGAATATGAAATTTTCAATGCAAGTATGAACACTTTTGAAAATGAATTTGATTCCAAGACAATTTTAAAAATGAGTATTGGAGGTTGAAAGGTTTTGAGTTATGTTCTATTGGTTTTTTTTTCAAAAATGAAAAACTCAGAATTTATATGAGTAAAATAACCTTTCACAAAAGGTATGATTTTAAAAGATTCAAACCATGAAAAGGTATGATTTTAAAATAATTTTTGAACTCAAAACAAAGCAATTTTTCACTGCACGTTCAGTGTTAATCGGTTAACCCATATGGTTAATCGGTTAACACTGGTACGTTAGCCCAGAAAATTCAAAAATCAAATTGGTTAACCGGTTAACCCATATGGTTAATCGGTTAACACTGCTAGTTTTTAGAAAAATGCTTTTTAAAATTAATGTTATACCATTTTTAAGGTTTCAAAAACATGCTTATGTATTATGCACAAATGATTGATGTTTTTGAACACTTGTATATCAAATTATAAAGGTGAATTTGATATACCAGTAATGCAGCCAAGTCTGGAAGAATCAGTTCCATATGTAGCTTGACTTGAAAGATAGCTTGATGACTTTATCTTGATGACTTTGAACGGCTTGTCTTTTTGCAATCAAGAGATGTCTTTGAGTAGCATTGACATCATCAAAACTTGAGACTGAAGCATGCTTCTACATTCTCCCCCTTTTTGATGATGGCAATCAAAAAATGTTGTGCGATATCTCTTGGTTCTTGATCTGGTTCTCCCCCTATGTCTAGCAACTCCCCCTATCTTAACAGAGGAAAAAAATATGCACACAGAGAGATATTAACAGAACCAAGCTCTTCTCCCCCTTTGACATCAGCAAAAAGGAAGAGCTTTCAAAGAAATCACAAGATAGCAGTATATAGAAATAAGCACATGCAAAGCCAAGTAAACACAAAACACAAACAGT